GTTCCATTAGCAAATCGACATCGAACGACATCATTATCTGCATCAAGAACTGGAATCTGAATTGTTTGTTGAATATTAACAGGTATACTAATATAAGAAATACATGTAGCTACTGGTGATGTATTAATCAATCCATTATCTGGTCTCAAACTCAAATCAATGAGACTAGAAATACTCCAGCCAGCAGAGCTACCTAATGCCAATATTTGCCAACCACCACTGGAACCAAAAGTAGCAGTAAAATGGGCTCCAAAAGTAAGATTAACTATATCGAATCGTTGACTGACAGTTAAATTAAGTGGAATAGAAAAATCAACGCAAGGACCTGTTATAGGTACTTCATGTCCAACATAACCGCCAGATGTTGAACAACTGCTAGTACATGTTAAATTTGATCCACTACCTACTTTGGTTCCTGTGTCAACAGAAGGTGATTGTGCAGCTATCATACTACTGTTACAACCAACTACAGATAATGTCCAACTATATGTTTGAGTAATGATGATAGAAATGTTACTACCAGTTGTAACATTATTGTAAATTGGTTTCCAAGAAATTGTTCCTCCACGAAAATGATCTGCTTTACTATAATGTACGAACAGTAATAATATCCATAGGAAATGAATGTGATACATCTTAAAAAATACTCTATCTAGAATTTAGAGATCATTATACTGCAGCAACATTTTTTACATACGGTATTCATTTATCTTCAAAATATTTCGTTGATTTGATTAATTTGATACTTTTGATATTTCTGATGACCTATTTATTGAAATAAAAATATATTAGTTTTTATATTGATTTATTTTCATTATTTTGAATAAATTAATAAAAGAAATCATATGAAAGAAAGAACTGATTAGTTTTCGGGCAATGAGAATAAATCAAGAAAAAAAACATCAACTGTAAGCATATTACATTTGTGATGAAATGCAACATCATACGATAGAAACCATTCATAACTCAATCCTGATCAAAATATTATTATATTGCAAAATATATATATTTCATAATAAGTAATCCTAGTAAATCTTTAAAATACTTGACTTGCTTCGAATGTTACTTCAAACAAACCTTATTGTTCTACTTTAAAAACAATTGTTGTCTTATTACTTAGTCAAACATAGTAGAAACGTCGATAGAATAACTACTTGATATTTCAACTACTATCGTTACCCATCGAATCTATTTCATTCCTCAATCTTGAGTCCTGATTAATAGTAGGTAGCCAAGCAATAATTATACTACTAATGCATGGAATTATAAGTTTCCTTCATATATCTGTTTAAGTAATAATAATAGAAACTTTACTATGAATTATGGAAATCAACTGTAACTGTCGACAATTCTACATCCGTACTATTTCATTAAGAGAAAACAAAACAATATTATAAACGTAATTTCTTTTATTGTTTTTAGCAAATCAGTGATGGAGATATACTGAAGCACTAATATGATTGTGGCAATCAATGAAATATAAATAAGAAAGATTTTTTGATTAATTTTTATGTTATCCTCTACTAATAAGTTGATCCAAACTTTAATCTTAAATATTGCTATTGACAAAAGAAAATATACAATAAAATATTCTATTTCTATATGATTTTCTTAGAGATTATTTAATAGATAGAGGTCAGAGTATTTCAAAGTGGCATGAAACAATATAGATCTTTTTAATTTTTCTTTTGAAAATATTTCTTTATGATTTTCAGTCATACTGATTGATCGAAGAAAAACTTTATTGACTAAAAGTTTCTTTTATAAGTAAATAAAATTTTTCATGTGTTCCTTGCTTATAGAAATTCTATTTTATGAATATGTGTAATTACATATATATTGCAGTTCATATTTTTCTTGCACTATGAATTAAAACAACTATTAGTTTCAGATTCAATTTAAATTTTAATAAGTATAATTAAAAATATATCTGAAAAGAATAGTAAGGCAACAGATTCATTATACATATCGACATTACACATAAAATAAAGCAGAATAATTATATAATCTCAAAAATAAATTGATACAATAACGATGTAAACAAGAAGGTATGATTGAATAACTAATCAATGATTCTTTTGTTGTGCGATTACTACTGGTCGACTTGTAATATGTGTATGGACCATTGGTATTTGTATTTGAGGACGTACTGAGTTAATGGTTCTTCTAAAAGGTAAAATACGTCTAACTGATCGTGGCCATAATTCACGTAGACTCATTAAAGAAACAAATGGACATAATAAGATCACTACATAAATACCATATGGTAAAATATTAATAGTCAAATCAATTAAAATAGGTTTTGGAATTGTTGAGAAAAGCATAATTGATGAGCAAATCACCATAGGTAGCCAAAGAAGATTATATAAAATGATAATATATAATAATTGTATGACTAGACGTCGATTTTTTCTCCACATTTGCCGTTGTTGCATGTGATATTTTTGTCTTAGAACACGAATTAAAAGTGCAAGAGTAACATATGAACTCAAAAGAACAGGTAAGACAAGATCAATAAATTGATCGAAAATACTAATTGCTGTTTCATAAAAATAACAAGGTCCACCACATGTAATCATCGTATAAGTAAACTGATTAGTACAAGGATACAGAAAAATAAAATATATATACAATATAATTGGATAAATAATGCAAAAAATCATTGGTATATAATGAAGAATAATTAGATGTTGATTAAAATATATACGATGATAAACGATTAAATATCGTTCAATTGCAGTATAACACATCAACATTAGAATCATTACATTAAATGAATAATCTTGACAAGCCCAAAACTTACAAAAAAAATCTGATTGAATAGGAACAAGATTATTATGTAGGTATGATAGTACAATTGGCAGTTCAGTTGTTACCTTAATATTTCAGATAAATGAAAGGATGATAAATTAAAAAACAGAAACTTACTTGTAGAAAACTACAAACTAAGACAGCTAAAATTATATGACTACGAATGTGTTTCCGAAGCATTTGTTTACGAATGTATTGAATAAAAATAAATAAATAGCAAGGAATCGATGGTATGATCAATGTAATATAAATACCAAATGGAATTGAACGAGAAACAGGTGCTAATAAACTTGAACTTGTCTCATCAGAAATACTATTGCTATCATTTGTCGACATTATAGAAAATAAATTCAAAATCTTACAGAGTAATGAGATAATATGCTTGTAGTTAGTGCAATAGTATTTACATTGATCTTAATAAGTTATCTGAGAAGTGTTTCTGAAAGAATAGAGTTACCGGAACTTCGCCAATTGTAGAAATTTCAAAGAGGAAATTGACGACGATTCAGAATCCCTTTTATATGTAAAAAAAATTAAATTAAAGAAAATCTTTATCTTTGTTTTTCTTTTATAAATATAAAGATTGACATCATCTTTATTCTTTATGAAATCATGATAAAGTACATCTTTATCTTCACTTATAAATTAAAGGTTAAAGTAGCATCCTCAATGTAGGACACGTTTTGTTAAGAAATTCTTATAGAGACTACTGCTCACACCAGATGCACTGTAAGACACGAATGTTTATTACTTCATAAATCTCTAGAAACTTTCTTTTTGTTTGCTTTTATTATGAAAAAAATAATTATAGATTAAATATTATAAAAAGAGCGTAAAATCCCAAAACCAACTGATTAGAATTCCATAAAAATGAATTAGCATGATTCTTTTCAAAACATTTAAAAAGTGACATATGAATATTTTCGATTGTTTCAAATATTTGTGGAGTTAAATCAATTGGTGCATTCGTATCAGAATTAGTTAGAATAATAACCCCAATATTATGTTTTTCATTGACTAACATTAGATGTGTCATACCCGGTAAAGTACCACCATGACCTATATACTGATGACCATCATTTAGTGTTCGCCAATTCCAACAGAGTCCATATCGTCTTGCTGGAATTTGTTGTGAAGAATTATTATCAAAATTTGGTTGATAAGGATAGATTTGATTATTACCAACGATTGTTTTCATTTCAATAATAGATTCAGAAGAAAGAAGTGGATATCCATTGTTGATAAACATTCGAAGAAAAAGAGATAAAGAACGAGCTGACATTCGTAAAAGACCTGCTGGATAACCACTAAAACCAAATAGTGAAATATGCAACCATGTTGAAAGATTTCCCTAGCCAAAAAAAAGAAATTATTTCTAATGATCGAATAAATCAAAAGATTTACTTTCATCTGTGTTATATTTAATAGTGGAAATTCTTGATTCCATAATGGAAGAAGAGATGCATTATACGCATAATGTTCAACAAATTCATTTGTATTTGAAAAATCACTCAAACGAACGCCAGTTTTAGAAATATCAATATTCAATGGTTTGAAAATATTTTCTTCCACATATTTATCATAGGACATCTTAGAAACTCGTTCAACAACTAATGCGGCTAATGATGTACCTTCATTTGAATAAAATGTTACATTTCCTGGTGGTCGTGGTAACCAATTTGATGTGTTTGGATTTAAATATTTAAAACATAGATCAGACAATGTTTCTTTAAGAAATGCATTATCACCTGGTTGAAAGAATGTACTCTGTAATACACTATCAACAGCAATTGATGCAGAATGTGAAAGTAATTTGCGTAAAGTAATCGAATTATTTGTATAAATTGGATGAAAGATTTTTCGATTATCTGACAAATACATATTAATATCGGTATCAAGATTAACGAGTTTTTTTTCAACTAATTGCATAACAGCAACAGCAATAAATGTTTTCGAAATAGAAGCAAGTGCAAAAATTGATTGATCAATATCCATAGGTTTCAAAGATGTTAAAGATTGATAACCAAAAGCTTGTTCATAAAGTATATTATTGGCATCAACAACGATGATTACTGCACCGGGAATATGTACTTTATTGAGTGATTGTTCGATTAATTCTCGATTTGTACAATTTGAACTACTACTGTTAACATTGATAAAGATAATAGCAAATAATATGAATGAAAATAACATCGTGTTTTGATTTATCGAATGAACTAGCATCGTTTTTTAACTATCAACAAGAGTTAAATATAAAAGGAAATGTTTGAATTATATCAGATTTCGATGTAGTTGTGCAAGATTACTCGATATAGATAACCGAAAGTACTCAGAGTATTACTTTATTTTTCTTTAAATAAAGATAAAATGATACTCTTAGAAAAAAGAATAAATATATGTCACTTAAATCTTGATAAATATCATTTAAAACTAAAGAGGATTATAGGTCTTTTGATCCGATATATTAATCATCGCTGTAATTTTTGTATCGATTCAATATTTAGTTCTCAGATCAAATAAGATAATCCCTTGATAAAGACAAAAACAGTAATTATCAAATGTTATCACTTCTTATTTTTCTGTTCTTTAAAATTAAAGAAAGAATGTACACGAGCTCCATCTATATATTTTTAATTTGTAGATCAACATTTAGAATGTAAATTTAGTAAATAATAATAATAATTAAAATGAATTTAATGAAAAATAATTTTTGTTTTTAATAAAATTCCAATTATAGAGGCAAGATATCCTTCTTCGTCTCTCTCTCTCACGATACTATTAAGGACATAAATCTATATTCATTTCATTTCGTCTTTACTTTTACTTTGTATGTTTGAATAATCTTTAAACATGGATATGATGACCATTAACCCTCTTTACTGAAATGTTTTGTGGACAACTTGCGTCTGATCCATTTATTAAATAAAATACTTTTTTTCTACTTCTAATTAATGATAGAATATGATGATTCAATTATGATCGTGTTTCACCTGATGCAGCTGATTATACTAAGTATCAAATCTGATTCTGTCATGATTTTTATATTGTCTCAAATTAATTTTTCTGTTTCGATGATGAATATAACATTCGCATGTATTACTTGAATATAAATATGAGAATAAACAGGAGACTGAGAACAGACATAAATTTGATTTGAGACAAAAAAAAATCAATAAATCGATATTAGATGTAATTTATAATAAAAAAAAATAATGCATTTCATGATCGATTCACTTCAAAGTACTTATCATGCAATATATTTGAATTTTATACGATAGAAAAAAAAATTCTATTGTCTATGCCCGAGGACAGAATTGAACTGTCGACCCCTGGTTTACTAGACCAGTGCTCTAGCCAAAAATTATTCACACATCTTGTGATCATTACATGTAAACTGAACTATTACTTATATAAAGTTCAGATGAGAAATATTGAATATAGATTTTTAGTGTACAATGGTCATATTTGTAAGAGCTCGAAATTTTTCTCTATACTAACAATTTCTAGTTTCAGTTGAAATATTCATAGTAAATTGATTGGAACAGCAACTATATCCATATTAACCTAAATTGGATAGATATGCACAAATGCATTTACATCAAAGATTTGTTGGATAATAATTTTTCTTTTGTTTTAACTAGAATAACTATAAAGATTTTATTTTATTAAAGAATCGTATGTTTTTTTAATGTTATTATTAGGTATGCAATGGCAATGAATACAAAATATTCAAAAGTGACTACGTATTAAACGAAATATTCTAATTTCGAATAGTAAAACGTACCTACCTATTCGTGATAATCGAATTTGTTAAGAAAAAGATCAATTTGATGTCTGACTGAAATTTAAATATGATATTGTTCTTACTGATTGATATGCTTCGAAGGATAACAGAATCACCAGAACTTAAATAGATACAGTATGAAATATCTCGTAGTATTTTGTATTATTCATCAAGTTACACGAATATTAAAGATTTTAATAAGATTCAACATAGAATCTTTGATAAATCATGATAATTAACTAACTAAAAAACATTAAATTAGCTCAATACTGTTCTTGAGTTTAATCTACGCAATACTCAAATAATTTCTCACTGAGCCACACGGGCGTAGTTTTTGTTCAATGTGCTCAATCTATCATTCTTTTCCATAGATAATCAATTTTCTTTGGAAACACAATAAAAACGAATTAAAAAACAACAAATATTTATTGTATAATATATACCGATAAAATGCAAAAATATCTGTTAAAATAAAAACTAAAGATTTATTGGTATATGTTCTGACGAAAACAATGAGATTGTTACAGTGCAGATAAAATTCGAGTGAAAAAATATAACCGGGAGAAACAGATCATTGCTTTTCTTTTATTTCATGGCATTGATTGCTTTACTAATAATAGAACAGCATTCAAGTACTTCATCTTTTGTTATATTTAATGGTGGAGCAAAACGTATTTTGTCACCATGAGTTGGTTTTGCTAAAAGACCATGATCACGTAAATGTAAACAGAGTTCCCATGCATCATAATCTTTAAGAGAGAGAAAAAGAATACATATATATATAGAAATAAATCAATTCATATGATATTACATACCTGAATTAATGACAATTGCATTAAGTAAACCTTTACCACGAACGAGTTTAACTACATCTTTTGGTAAACGCTTTAATTCACTGCGTAATAATTCACCCATTCGAGCAGCATTTTCAACCATTCCTTCTTCGATTAAAACCTGAACATAACTTGAGTTTAATTCTATGAAATTTTTATGAACTATTTACTTTAAGAGAAGTAACAGCAAGTCGAGCTCCTAATGGATTTCCACCAAAAGTTGAACCATGAGTACCGGGAGTAAATATATGCATTAATTTATCATTTGCTAAAACAGCGGACACCTATGAGTAAATAGAATATGCATATTCATTGATTTATTTATTTGAATAAATTTACCGGATAAAAACCACCAGCCAATGCTTTACCAAGGATAAGAATATCTGGTCGAACATTTTCATGATCACATGCAAGTAATCTACAATAAATCTTTGATTAAATCAACTAACTAAATAATCTTACTTTCCAGTTCGACCAAGACCTGTCTGAATTTCATCACCAATCCAAAGAACATTATTTTTTGTACAGATATCTCGAATACCAGATAGATAACCCTCATGAGGAACAAATACACCTATATTGAAACTATTGATATCTGATCGAAATCATATTTTTGTACTTACCGGCTTCACCTTGAATTGGTTCAACCATAAATGCACATACATTACTATCTTTACATGCTTCCTAAAGATATTCATTAATAAATTATATATATTCTTTTCTGTTTCAATACACATACTTCTAATGCTTGTAAATTATTATAGGGAATAGTTTTAAAATTAGGCATATATGGTCCGAAACCTTCGTAACATGATGGATCAGTTGAACTTGATACTGCTGCCAATGTACGACCCCAGAAATTATTTTCAGCAAAGAGAACAACTGCTTTATTTTTTGGGATACCTTTGACATTATATCCCCATTTACGAGCAAGTTTAATAGCGGTTTCTCCACCTTCGACACCTAATTACAAAATTAAACTTCTAAACTTATTTAATAAAACAAAATCAATTTAACTAACCGGTATTCATTGGTAAAAGTTTCTCGTAACCAAATAGTTCACATGCATACTGTTCAAATTCTCCAAGAATATCGTTATGAAATGCTCTTGATGTTAATGTTATTGTTTCGGCTTGTTTTTTAAGAGCCTCAAGAATTTTCGGATGACAATGTCCTTGATTAACAGCTGAATAAGCCGAAAGGAAATCAAAATAACGATTTCCATCTATATCCCATACATATGGACCTAAAACATTTAATGATAAAATCAAAAAAGAATAATTTTTTTTGAAAAAAAGTATTTACCAGATCCACGTTGAATAACAACAGGTAATGGATGATAATTTGCTGCTCCATAACGTGTTTCACGATCAATAATCGATTGAGTTTTTGATGATACATTTTTTGCCTTAGATTTTATCGATGATGAACTTGCTGAAGCTATACATCTGTTGATAATAGATTGCGAAGGTGATAATAATTTACGATACATCTACAAGAAGCCATAGAACACTAAATTCTCCTATAAAAAATTTTAATTTCCGATCTTATTACTTTACAACTCGAATAAACGAGTAATCTATGTAATTATTTTCACTCATTAACTACATTAATCAATATAAAAATCAAATTTGTACTCAAAAGAGGGTGTGTTTACCAGTTTTCTCTGTATTTCACCGTAATTCTTTCCAATCCAATGAATTACAAATACTAGCAAGATGTCGCTAAGAACAATTCAAAAAAATCTATCCAATCATCGACTGGAATACACAATGGTTGTCAATTCATTACCAAAGAAATTCATATAACGAAGAAGGCACAGTCTAACAAAAGAAAGATAAGATGGTTTCATTAGAGAAGAAAACGCCTGAGGAACGATTAAATATTTGTCGTAAATATTATTTGGGTGGCTTTGCTTTTTTACCACTTCTATGGTTTATTAATGCTATTTGGTTTTATAAACAAGCATTCAAAGTTGAACCATATCCTGAACAAACTCAAATTCGAAAATGTAAATAATTATTAACTATATTTTTATTTGAATATGAAAACAAACATATATTTTTTTTAATTTTAGATGTAATTCGAAGTGCAATTGGTACATTTGTTTGGATTCTAATTATTGTTGTATGGAATATTATGTTTCAAGTCTTTCGTACAAAAATGGGTCCAGCAGGAGATTATTTAACATTTGTTGTACCACGTGGATATTATTAAACATTCCTTGTTTTCTCTTTGTTTTTTTTT